CACGTCCATTCCCTCTTATCCTCCTTTACAACAGCTGCTTGACGCGGCTGAGGTGTTTTCGTTTTTTTTATTTATTTTTAATTTCCTTATTTACAAATTTTACTATTATTATTATTATTATTAACAAACACAACAACAAATAAATACAAAAATACATATTATCATTACTATTTTAGATTATTACAATATGTATGTCATGTGGATCGAGACTTCCTTGTTGTGTTGTGTTAGTATTGGACGCATAATTTCGATGTTTTATTTTCGTCATGATATCATGCGAGCCTTTCCTTTTCTGTAGCACCCGGTGAAGCGTTAGTGCATTGTGCCCGACTAAGTCAGGCCCAGGAGGCATGTATACGTGAGTGGGCCGTGTGACACAATCGCACTTTTAAAGCCAGCGGACTAGCGATTGTGCGGCACTCACTTTCCAACGACAAGTGAGCTAAGCCAATTTGTACTTGCGTCGCCTACAGCCAAGCGACGTATGATCAAGCCTCTAGCCTCGATTTTAAAAGAAGGTTTTGGAAAACGAGGGTAGAGAGAGATTTTAGAAAGAGAGATTTTTGAAAGAGACGTTATATAAGGAAGCAAGAGAGAGATAACAACGGCTTAGCATATATAACCTTGGGTAGGGAGAAGTTGACAACTAGTCATATCCCCCTATAGTACATTCTGAGGCATTAAATGTCTGGCAGACCTAGACATGATATTTTTGAGGCGTCATACGCCCTAGAACTACAAAAGTAAAAACACTAAAATGAAAAGACATGACAAGGGTTTGGCTTGCCATAGGCATGCGGCCATGGGCAACACGCCCTGGACGAGCATGACCGTGACATCCTCCCCCACTTAATTGGTTGACGACCTCGTCAACCGACTACTTTCAAACCTAGCGATGTGGGTGGCGGCGGATTTCAGGTCTTCGGCGCGTTCCCCAGCTGGTTTCCTCTGTAGGGAGATTCTTCCATTTGACAAGGAATTCACGAATCGTCCGTACAGGTCGTCCTATCTTCCTAACCCTGTCGGCGAGGATCTCCTCTACTTCTTTTGTTTCTTTTTGCCTCAGATCGATGCTCGGTCTTGTGATTGCCGTCAATTTTGGTTGATCAAAGAAGTGGCAAATGGCGCTGTTATCCGTCTTCACTACGAACTGTGATCCCAAGAGATATTGTCTCCAGACTCGAAGGCAATGGACTACTGCCAGCATTTCTTTTTCGGAGACAGTGTATCTACGTTCGGCGTCATTGAGCTTTCGACTTTCGAAAGCGATGGGGTGGCCTTCCTGAATAAGGACCCCACCTAGGGCAAAGTCGGAAGCGTCTGTTTCTATTTCAAATGGCTTTGTAACATCTACCAATCCGAGGACAGGACCCCTCATCATGGTTGTTTTCAGATCTTCAAAGGCCATTTGACAATCATCTGACCACGACCAAGTGTGGTCTTTCTTCAACAGCTCTGTCAATGGGGCGACTCGTCGTGAAAACCCTTCGACGAACCGCCTATAGTAGTTGGTTAATCCTAAGAAGGACCGCAAATCGGATACGGAAGTAGGAACCTTCCATTCTTGGATAGCTTTTATCTTATCGCCATCCATACTAATCTGTCCACATTTGACGACATGTCCAAGGAAGTTGATGCATGTTTGTGCGAATGCACATTTCTCTTTCTTGACATACAGTTGGTTTTGTCGTAGCTTGTCGAACACCAGCTTCAAGTGCACTTTGTGTTCCTCTAGGGTTGTGCTGTAAACCACTATGTCGTCGAGGTATACTATGACAAACTGATCCAAGTATTCGTAGAAAACTTGGTTCATCAACGTGCAGAAAGTAGCTGGAGCGTTTGTCAAGCCAAAGGGCATTACTAGGAATTCGAAGGCCCCATATCTTGTTACGCACGTCGTCTTGGGCTCGTCCCCTTCGGCAATACATACTTGGTAATACCCTGATCGTAAGTCCAACTTCGTGAAGTATTTGGCCCCGTGAAGTTGGTCGAACAAGTCGGATATTATCGGCAGTGGATATTTGTTGCGTACCGTCACCTTGTTTAAGGCTCTATAGTCTATGCACAGACGCAGCGTCCCATCCTTCTTCTTCTGGAACAGTACGGGGGCTCCGTAGGGTGCCTTTGCCGAGCGGATGAATCCTGCCTTCAGCAACTCATCCAGTTGTTTCCTTAATTCGGCTAGCTCGGGCAGAGCCATCCGGTATGCGTTCTTCGCTGGCGGTTTAACTCCGGGGATGAGTTCGATTTCGTGATCAATGCCTCGACGAGGTGGTAATGTTTGGGGTAAGCTCTCTGGCATTATGTCAGCATAGTTGTTTAGTACCTCATTGATTTCATTTGGGACAGTTTCTTCGGTGGTTGTTACTTCCATCAATGGTATGGCCATAAATGTAGGTTCCTCTCGTGCGAGTCCCCTTTTCAATTGTATGGCCGAGATCATTCGAAGATTACCTGGTTGCTTGATGCTTGCAGGTATTACTGTGGGGTTGCGGTCGGTGATCACTAAGCATTTTGCCAGCGGCATTGGGATAACTTTGTGTTCTAGGAGGAACTCCATCCCAAGTACCACGTCAAAGTCGTCCATGCGAGCTACGACAAGATCTAGCTCTCCTGTCCAATCCCCTATTTTAAAGGGGACTCTTTTGGAAACTCCCACAATAGGCAAGGCCTCAGAGTTGACAGCTTTCATTTTTCCCGGGTCCTTTCCTATAGTGAGTCCTAATCTTCGGGCTTCTTGATCGGCGATGAAGTTGTGGGTCTCTCCTGAATCTATCAGAGTGCTCTATTCGGTTGGGAATTTATTGTCGCATCTACGAACATGAGCCCTTTCTCTACTATCTCCTTCGGTTCGACCTTCCGTTGGAGGGCTGACAAGAATTTAAGTGCGCCCATTCGGGGATTGTCTTGATCTTCCTTCTTGTCAAGCATAGTCTCAACCCTTGCGTCATTGCTCTCTTGAATGGACACTTGGAGCGCAGTGAGAGAGGCCCGATGAGGACAGTAAGATACCTTGTGGGGACCTTTACACAGCATGCATTGTAAAGGCGTCGTCGGGTGGTTCCTTTGATGGTAAGGTCCTCGAGATGTCCTCGCTTGGTTGTTCTGAGGAGGTCTATCCGTCCATCCGCTTGGTCTGTCGTTACCTCCGTTCGGCCTGTTGGGGCTTCCATTTCGATGACTTGGTGGTTTGTATGGCTTGCCCCCAGTGTTTGGCGCTGGTGTTATTCTTCTTTGGGATCCCGCTTCGTTCCCATAGTCTAGGAGTCTCTCCGCACAGGCCATTGCGGCAGCTAGGGTTTGGACCATATTCTCGTGTAGCTTTGTTTTGGCCCACGGCTGTAACCCATTTATAAAGAAGAACACCTTGTCCTTCTCTGATGTGCCCCTGATATCTAGCATCAGGGTTGAGAACTGTCTGACATAGTCTCGTATGCCTCCAGTGTGTTTCAGGGCTACTAGTTTTTCCATTGCTAAATGTCCTGCGTTTTCGGGGAGGAACTGGTCCCTCAACTCTTTCTTAAGGTCCTCCCACGAGTCAATGGTGCACAATCCATCCTCGATGTCTTGCACCTTCGTACGCCACCACAGTTTGGCGTCGTCTATGAGATATATCGAGGCTACGGTCACCTTCTTGTCGTCAGTACAAGCCGTTGTGGCTTTGAAGTACTGTTCGACATCAAAGATGAAGTTTTCCAACTCTTTGGCGTCCCGATTCCCTTTAAAGGCCCTAGGATCTGGGAATCTTAGTTTGTTGGACCCTGTATTAGTTTGTCCAGCCGTGACGTTCTCCACGACTTTCATGGTCACTTCAATTCGAGTGCCCATGGAGGCCATCCTTTCTTGGATGTCGTCGATTGTTGTTCTGAACTCATCAGCTAATCCATTGAACAAGCTCATCATTGTATTTTGTAGCACGTTGAACTCTTCGCCACGTCCCTCCTTGTGCGCGACAGAGCTATCCGGACTACCAGACGGTTTTGGGCTGCTCATAGGAGCAACTCTTTCTTCGAGCGAGGTCACTCGAAACATCAATTCTGCGATTGGCAACCCATCCAGGCGGTTGCCCATTGCGTCGATTCCTACGACTTTCTCACTCAATTCGGTCACCCGTGCTTCCAGGAAGCGGAGGGTGTCAGGGACTTCTTTGAGGAACAGCATTTCCTCCTCTATTAGCGTAAGCCGGTCGGCTTGTGCTTTGGGTGTCGAATTTGTCGTCGACATGGTTTCGGTCTTTACTGTGTCACGGAGCTAACAAGGCTCTGATACCACTTGACACAATCGCACTTTTAAAGGCAGCGGACTAGCGATTGTGCGGCACTCACTTTCCAACGACAAGTGAGCTAAGCCAATTTGTACTTGCGTCGCCTACGGCCAAGCGACGTATGATCAAGCATCTAGCCTCGATTTTAAAAGAATGTTTTGGAAAACGAGGGTAGAGAGAGATTTTAGAAAGAGAGATTTTTGAAAGAGACGTTATATAAGGAAGCAAGAGAGAGATAACAACAGCTTAACATATATAATCTTGGGTAGGGAGAAGTTGACAACTAGTCATATCCTCCTATAGTACATTCGGAGGCATTTCATGTCTGGCAGACCTAGACATGATATTTTTGAGGCGTCATACGCCCTAGAACTACAAAAGTAAAAACACTAGAATGAAAAGACATGACAAGGGTTTGGCTTGCCATAGGCATGCGGCCATGGGCAACACGCCCTGGACGAGCATGATCGTGACACCGTGCGTGAGGAAATACCACACATCCAACCCTGCCCAGAACTAAGAAAAACTCCAAGGTCATGTTACATTTGTAAAGAAAATGTCCGATCATTTTGTGTGTGATTTTATTACTAATCCCAACATTAGGGTGCCTTACTAAATATTTCCTTTTCCGTAGCATGGATGACAGTGAATTCTGGAATGTTCGTGGATAGGAGGTTTATAGCCCTTATTAATAAATCAAATGAACTATACAATAAAAACAAATCACATAAAGAAAAAATCAAAAACCCATCCATTCTTCATCATTAATAAAGCAACTCCAAGAGAGAGGAGTATAGTGAACAAACTAATAAAATACACTTCACCATTATCATCATCAAGTCATAAACAAGAGGCCATGTTTCTTTCAGGCTTTTAAGAAACCTGGGCCACTTCCCTTACCCCCACCACTTACATGGAGGGAATTTTTTTTCCTCTTAAAAAAAAAAAAAAAAGTGACAAAATGTCATATATAGCCCCTACACCTAGCCTAAAAGAGGTAGTTTACAGTGAGAGAAAACCTTGTTGGAGGAGGGCAAAATGGTCATTTCAGCTTCATTGGCAATTAGGGTTCCTACCAGGTCCTCCATAGTAAAAGAAATGACCCCAATCCCCATTGCTGCCTGTTTGAACATCATAGCAATCAGGCTGCTCTGTGAATGTGCCAATGCCTTTTGGGGGCTTCAGATTGTTTGATCCATCAACAACTTGAATGTTTCTAAAATAGCTTGCCTTCCCAAATCCTTCATCTGGGAAATGCCCACTCCCCATTTGTGTTGAAGTGTGCTGCCCATTTGGCTCTGAGTTTACTACTTCACCTCCCCACTCTATCATGGAGGCACTGTCTGCTAGATATGAGAATAGGAATGAAGGCCAATACCCCATCACATAACCATTGCCAAATTGCATCCACCAATGCCCTTCATTTGGATCCTACACAAATCAATCGCTATCCATTTATGTAAATGTAATGTAAAAAGCAATCTCGAACGAAGAAAACGAGTAGTTGATAGTGATTATTTATCACTTTAGAGATGCAACAAGCCCGATATCAAAAAGGGTATGAGAGACTCGGGTATGAAGACATGGAGTGTGAGATCTCACATCGGTTGGGGAGGAGAAAGAAGCATTCTTTATAAGGGTGTGAAGCCCGAAAGGAAAAGTCTAAAGAAGACAATATTTGCCAACGGTGGCTTGGGCTGCTACAAATGATATCAGGGCCACACGCCCGCAAAGAGACTGAGCCTCAAAGAGGGGTGGACATGAGTTGGTGTGACAACAAAGACGCTGGGCAACAAAGGGGGTGGATTGGAGGGTCCCACATAGATTGGAGAAGGGAACGAGTGCTAGAGAGGACGTAGGGCCCCGAAGGGGTTGGTGGATTGTGAGATCCCATATCAATTGGGGAGGAGAACGAAACATTCTTTATAAGGGTCTATAAGGGTGTATCAGTCTATCATCTTTTTTGTGGACCAAGGGTCCAGCAACTGTCATGGGGTAAGGCCAAGAAATTCCTAGCAGCATCAGAACCATAATGGCTCTTTGTTTCATCTCCCACCCAACACATCAGTATCACATTTATTGACATGGCCAAAGGATTTGAACTGTCTAGAGAAGCAATCAATTGGGATTGGGACAACAAACATCAGCTGATTCCCCCACATGCCATCTTTCCTTGGTACTATCATTTTCATGCTATTGAAAAAAGAAAAAGAACTGCTTTTGGCTTATACCTTCCAGACAAGTATACTGATATCATATTGTGAATTTCGGTACGCCGAGACAGGAGAGATGCTCGCTCCCATTGCTATATCGCTGTTGATTTGAATAAAGCCTGAGCAGAGAAGGTTGTAACAGCCTGTAGCTTGATAAGCATCGCTCTGGAAAAGAAGAAAAAGGTAAGCAAGCGAAACAATGTTCTAACATACATGGCTCGTGGCTCGTGGCTCACCGTCCAGTACGTGAAGAGTCTAGTGTTGTTGTCGCCATAGAGATCAGGACTAACCTGTACAATGGAAGAACAACAGATATGAAACTTTGTCATTTATAATTTCAATCATTTTTTGGTCAGTAACATGAAGATAATGTCCATAATGATACCTGCCAACCAGCTTCAATGCTATTAAGATCTTCACCAAAAGAGCCTCCCAATATCCAAAGCTGTGATAAGCTAAACTCATTAGGCTGTTGGATGCTAGGCTCCCACACATTCATGGTTGCTTTAGCTCCATAATACTTATCTCCTTCAACATAAGCTATTGCATGCTAAAAACAGGCCCAAAAAGAACAAAATCAGCGCTGAAAAAACAAGAACATGAGAGATAGATAGCTATATGATGATTACCTGATGGCCACTTTGGTTGATAAGATCAGGCTCAGCAGACCTGGGGGGTATGGGCGTTGATCTATGCTTCTTTTTTCCATATCTTTTGACCGAACTTGCTCTCAAAACATCCTCATGTTTGGTTCTTCTAATGGGAATAGTGCCATCAGGACACCTTCCATTAGAATGCCATTGTTGGGTAATTGGGTTTGGTTTCTCAGCTACTTTGGTCTCTTCAAATAGCCCTTCTGGATGATAACTTGGCCTTGTCTGAAGAACAGAGTAGTGAGTTTTTGAAGGGAAAACTATGGTAATGAAGGTGTTTTAACAAGAACCCACCTGGATTTTGTGGTCTTTAAGGAAAGGATGGTCAAATGCTGGCTGATTAGACATGTGAACACAGTCTATTAGGTCACCATCTGGGCTCTGATTCAACCATTAGAACAAGAATGAGAACAATTTCAAGGATCTTAATGAAAATAAACACCCAGAAACTACTCCTCTGTTTTGTATTCTGATATGTTTCTAGTGAAGTTATAACCATGGAAGAACACGCTATATGCTATACAGTGCTTGGTAAAGGGGAAGAAAGTGGAATATATACTTGGCTCCTGAGATAACAAAGGAATCAAAGCATTTCCCTACATTTTCTCGCATTTTCTCAGGAACCAAACAGAGAAAAACCCCATTTGAATGGAAAACAGAGAGAGGCAGAATAAGAACGAACCTCGATGGTTTTAACAGCAGGCTTGTTCAAGCGCCGGAGATGCTTTTGCACTTCAAGCTTCTGGCGGGAGGCCGATTCTATCCTCGCCGAACAGCACAGAGAAATCATCCCCAAAACGCAAAAAATGGCGACGAGAGCTTCCATGGTCCTGCGTCTGCTAAATCGAGCAGAACCCATCTTCAAAAACCCTCTCAAAATCACAGATCCACAGCGATTTCGTCCACCGCACAGAAAATGGAGATAAACCCAGAAGAAGAAGAAGAAGGTCGGGTGAAGAACAACAATGGCGGATGGGCAGAGAGGTTAAAAACGAAGAAGAACTTCTCTCGAAAAAGAAACCACACGCTCAGTGCTCTCTAAAAAGCCTTCAATTCCTCTCTCTCAAGAAAACTGCCACACTTTGTTGTCATTTTCCGTCCGATTCGGACTTTTCTGTACAAATCAATTTCTTTTTCGCATGTTCCTTCAAATTTTGTAATGCTTTTGCATTCTCCAATTTGTGATGTGTATTTATTTACATTACATAATCGTAAAGATTCATACTTCTTTTTCCGTCGCCCATTAATTTCAGACTTTTAGAGATAAACCCTTTTTCTTTCTTGGAAATTTTTCTTTTTGAGAGTTTTACTATGTAAAGATGAACGAGAATTGGTAACCGAAATGAATTCATTTCATTTCAAACGAGGGCTACTACACTAGGGTTGTCAACTTTATTCAAGTTACTCAAATCATCAACTGCATCAGCTCAAAAGATTTTTCCAACTCAACCCAATTAAACTCATGTACACGCCAAAATGACACTGAAGATTCTACCAATAGAAAGCATATTCCTTTTCGAAGATTCTACCAATATGTCAAAGTCAAGCTTGACTTTGATATCACTTATCAAGGACAACAACCCTCCACGTATCTCCACAATGACAAAAAACCCGAGTCACATTACTTTTAGTTTGACTCAAAACGTCTCACACTGATGAATATGTTATTTCTCACTTATATACCTACGATTTTCACCATATCTAACCATAGAACTTTGGTTGTATTCTCAACACGTAAAATGTTAAATTATATAAACTTTAGATTATATTTATATTTAGTACATCATTAACATTAAATACTTATATATATATATATATATAAAAGAGGTTCCAATCGCAAAGTGGGCCCCATGTTTCAGTCAACAAAAAAATAAACCAATTAAAATCACACATTTCAATATAATATGTCCAAAATTCTTAATTTTAATCATATGCAAAATCACTTATATTTGATTTCATCAAAACTATATATTATATGGTTTATTTGTGATCATATTATAATATATATATATTTACCAATCACAATCACTCACAAGCAGATCAGATCGACGAATTTTCTATCTACCCACGAGGAAAACCACACTGATCCCTATCAAAAGATGTCCCATTACCCCTTTCGGGATTTCGACTTTAACATAAAGTTCTTGTTTCGCCAATGCAGAAAATGGCGAAGGTTTTTTACCAATGAATCGATAGTCAAAGTCATTTAATTCTGGAGACGGTTCTCGATCAAAAGATTGTATTTCTAAATTTTCAGGTTGTCGGGTGACTAACAAAACAAATAACTTATAAACCAAACCGATAATTGAGTAGTCCAAATTATTCAAATTATCGACTCATATAAATGCCTAATATTTTTTTATTTCCCGTCGTAAATAATATCTGAAATCAGACTTATTAAAAATATTTAAACAAATAATTATTATAATTATTTATGAAAATGTGAGGAGGGGAAGAATAATTAGAATATTCCAACAACGCATTTCTAAAAAATTACTTTTATTTTTTAAAATAATTCAAATTAAAAAAATAAAATACATTATCCCAGCGGTAACAGACAAACGAGGCATGGCGAAAAACAGTGGGGGCAATTTGGTCATTTCATAATGGAGTACAAAAATTCCCATTTCCCAAAGAAAAAAAAAAGTCATCGATTATGGCGATGCAGGTAGCCGTTGCAATTCCCATCAGCCTCGCTTTTTTCTGTAAGTCACCCGCAGGTCACGCTAAATGCGTCACAGCCACTTAAATATTGAAATATTTGGCTAAAAATATCTCTCTCTTGTTTTTGAAAAATGGTAATATTACTTTTAATTTTTTTTTATAATACTTAAATTAAAAATAATATTATAAATTTCGATAGTAATTAAAAAATTTTAATCCGAATTTAAATAAAGCAACTTCTATTTAAATCATACCTACATAATCACTAAAAATCAAAATGTAATCAATTAAAGATAATAAAGAAAAAATTATATATAAAGAAACCTTATAATAAAATTTATACATTAAGCTTTATGAATAATTATTATCAATAAAGTTTTCAATTTATTTATAAAAAGGAACTTTATTCTTTCTCTCCCTTTTTGTTTTTCTTTTTTAAAACTAAGATTTATTATTATTATTATTTTTAACTTTATTTTAATTAGCCCTTTGATTAAGGCATCTTTAAGAATAGACACCGAACAACACGGTGCATGGAATGCATTAAATGCATAACGATATAACGAGACACTAGTTTGGAACTTTCTGTGTGAGTCCGCATCTATATCAATATTAAGGAATGTTTTGTGCTTGGATCGAGACTAATTTTAGAGTTTTATTGGAATATATTTTATATAGCCGTAATCAATTAGAATTTTATATTTGATATATTTTATCTTATCTTCGGGATTTGGTCAGTAGAATAATTTTATATTCTATTTAAATGTTTTGAATATTAATGAAAATTGGACACATATATTTCTCGGACTTTTAATCCTACTTCTATTTCTCATTTTTAACATGATAGCGGAACATCATTCTTAACAAGTTTTAGTTTAATCAAATTGTCTGAACAACGATTGGTCGGTCAATGTATTTTAAAAGGAAGTTTTTATTTTTGTAAAATATTTGGTTCCATTAGCTTTGGTTTAATGAGTTGACTTAGTGGATGCTTTTTAGGGTTTATCTCAAACTTTATAATAATTTAACTTTAAGCTATTTTCTCTCAACCACATCATGATGATACCATTCTATGCAATTAACTTTATTTTTCTCTTTTTTATATTTTGGAAATTCAATCCTCTAATTATAAAACTTTATTTATTAAAAAACAATTTAGGTAAACTACAATAACTAACCATTTTTTTAAAAAAAAAATGATCAAAATTTGAGTCGGGCCATCAAATTACTTGGGTATTTATCAATCTTTGATCGAGATTCAAGTAATCCCAGCCAATTTTTCGACGACATGGATGAATCTTGTTCAACGACTTATCCATTCAGTGACTATGACACTGACATTTTAAAAATGGGGTGCTATCGAGTTAGGGGAATTCAATACTAGACCTCTTCTCGATTAGTAATATTTAAGTCTAAAAATTCAATATTTTTTAAATCTCATTCAATTTTAACACTATTTTTTAATTTACTTTAGGGATGAAATTTGTTATAAAATAAAAAATATAAAGAAAAAATGGAGTGGGGTATTTAAAAAGTGGGTGAGAAAAAGAGAGGATGACCCGCGGGTGAGGGAGGTGGGCGGAAGTCACGGAGGGGGGAGGATCAGCGTACACGTGTAGGGCTGATAGAGAGAGAGAGAGAGGAGAGGACACCCGTGAGTAGCCGTCCAGCGTCACGGTACACGAGGACAAAAGTGGAAATAATGTAAAAACTGAGTGAGTTCTCAATTCTATAGAAATAGAATCCAATGCGCATTTGCTGACCACTCACCCACTTGGTCAAAATTCTCGAATCAATTTTATATAATTAAAATAAAGTTTTTTTTTTTTTTTTTTTTTTTTTTTTAAAGTTTATATATATATATATATATATATATATATATATATAATTAACAATAGATAAATAGATAACGGAGGTGAATACGAGTGTTCATATGATTCGATAATCCCACTAATTTAGACTACTCAACCTAAATCTTAATGTTGGGTTGAGTTAGTTTTTTTTTTTAAAGTTTGATTTGGGTTGATTTTTTTGAAAATTGAAAATTCGGGTCGATTTGTAAGTTGACATTTTTCTAGTCGCGTCGACTTGACAAGCTCGAGAATAGGGTTAATCCAACGATTGTACTTTTAAGATTATTATGAAAATTAAGAGTATTTGACGTATGTAACCGATATTAATGATGTGTTGTAACTTGTGGATGTTTAATATTTGAGTTGTACGGAGAAGAATATTAAAAAAAGAGAAAAGCATAATGTTAAAAATATAACGATGAAACATAGGAATGTGAATAACGTTTTAGTTAGGGATTGGGCTAAAAGTGGGACTCAAAAGACTATGGCAAAGAGTAAAAAGGTTGAATGATGAAGATGCAATTTTGGAGGAAAAAGGAAAGGCAAAACTTCAAAAAAGATGATGAGTAAAGGTGTTGGAGAATAAATGCATATTAGATTTGATTCATACAAAAATCCATTGCTATTAGTTGTTGTTTGCTTTGGTTTCAACCTAAATGCACTATTGTAAAGAATGTTTTGTTCCACTCTTAAACCGACGTGTAAACGTGAGATCTCGAAGAAGTTCAATTGGTTAAAACATATGCTCTTTCCATCAAAAGACGATAGGTTATAAATTTAGTGTATGATCTTTCATGTGTGTATAAAAAATAAGTCCCTAATTTTTTTTTTTTTAATAAGTTCTTAAACTTTTAACGATCGATTATAAACTATTGACATGTTCAATATATATACGATTTATTTGATCTTATAACTAGTTAGAATTTTTTTTCTAGTAAATCATGAATTTGTCTTGAACATTATTAAAAATCTTATCGAAAGCTTAGGGCAGTTTGCCAAACAAAAGCTAAAGAAAAAAGAATAGAGGTATTACTGACAAAAAAGCGTAGGCCTCAGGCAATTTGGCGACGAAAAAACTACTTGAATAAAGGAAAGAATTAAAACAGATACCGATAAAACTTAAGATATTAAATATAACAATTTTTTTTTCTTTGTTCTTGAAGATAATTGTATTTCTTTTGATTTGATTGAGTTATTAATATATATATATATATTTTAAATTAACCAATTTATTAAATATAAAATTGAAATCGTGATGTGTTCTTACCCACCAAATTTAATTTTTATGTAACAAATATTTATTAGACATAAAATTAAAATTCGTAACCTATTTGATACTTAAATTAGCACTAGAAAGACCGAAAAGAAATACAATGTTATATAAATATTTAATACAAATTAAAAGTAGTAGGGTCACCGAAATTAGTAATTTTAACTATTTGGCAAAATTCTCTAAAATAAATGGAACAAATAAAAAAATGGGCTGCTAGTTGGGCTTGATGGGCTTAGGAATCGGCCCAAATCAAAACCGAAGAAGACATAGTCAGGCCCAATTAAGAGTATGGTTTTTAAACTAAATAAAATAATGTAAAATATAATAAAAATTAAGGGTATTTAGGCAAAGAAAACATACAACGCCAGCTTAAAAGCATAACTCATTGATAACTTATGTGTTTAACTAATGTGTAATAGCATAACCCAATGATAACTAACATGTACCGGTTCAAATTCATAAAATTTTGTTAGTATGTTGGGCCAAAGTGAACAAAAAAAAATGATTTATGGCTCGCAAGACATTACTCTTCACGGCACCAACTACTATGCGAGTAGAGTCTAGACGTCTTGTTGACTTGCTGGAAAACAAACGTGCTTCAGAAGGATACAAAAACTCATGCACACTATCTACGGGCTATCTCCCTTTGAACCTATTTCTATTGTTCACCCATCTTGGAATTGGTCACTGAGACTTGCAACGTAAACACGACTATTCCGTGTTTGCCATAGCTGTGGGTGAGGCTAACTCTCTCAGCCAACACTTACCGGACAACTATGAACTTCCAAGGGCACTCTTGCCCCATCCATGGCCAACTTTTAAGAAATTTTTACATTTACCTTTCTCTATAAGTCATAAAAGGTCGATAAAAAATAAAATAAAATAAAACATTTTTTTTTTTTAATGAAATAACTAAAAGAATTTATGTACAAGCATTTCAAACACCTTAATGATAGAAGTCTCCAAACAATCATATACTAACTTATTTCTATCATCTTGGTTGAACAAATGAATCATATTGAGAGTCATAGATATTATATGTTGTTGGTAGGGTATGATCTACGTATAATCGATAACGCAACCACCCTCGACGAAGCATCATTTTTTTTTTTTTTTTTTTTTTTTTTTTTTTTTTTTTTTTTTTTT